CCGGCTTCCTCCCTCCCCTGTCCCCGGAGACACTGTGACCTCGGGACCCTGACCTCGGGCCTCTGTCGCCCACTGGGGTCGGGGGCACGGCCGGGGCTGCGTCCGCACGGGATGCCCTTTGCCAAAGCTGAGCTGTGTGTGCTGCGCCTGCTGCAGGGTCTGTCCTCGGTCAGCGAGTCCGTGTGTCCCGGGTGCACGCGGGCGCTCAGGCTGCGCCCCTTTGTTAATAAAATCCTGACGGCTCCGCCCGGGGCTGGAGGAGGCAGCGCCTGTGTCCTCGTCTCCTCCAGCTCGTGCCCAACCGGGGAGCCACCCCGCCGGGCGGAGGAGGACCGTCACTTGTCTGTCCCTCTGTCCGTCCCTCTGTGCTCAGGCCAGGCTACAGGATCGACTGTCGGGCACAGCCAGGCTTTCCCTAAAAAGACGATATTTTATTGTTTCTTTTGTCCTTCAATCTCAGCTCCAGTACCACACACGTGCACGCGTGCACACGCACAGACACACACACACGCACACATGCACGTGCACACACAGGGGCCGCTGCTGGAAAGCCCCTCCCACGCGGGCTGTGGCCTTCAGACCCAGCAGATGAATGTGGGTCCACACGGCGCTTTCTCTCCGAGCAGCGGACGGAGGGGGCCGTCGGCGCCCGGTTCCCGCAGAGCCCACTGGCCTTGCTGTTTTCTCAGTGGAAAGTGCTCCCCTGGCTCCGTGACGCCCGCCGCCCGTCTGCTTGGGTCTGAGTTGCTTCACTTATTACCAGAAACGGGGAACCGGGGTGCCTGCAGGTCCCGGGTTCACCCTCCTAGAAACCCACCCAAGTCACGCGTCCTGTTTGCCGGGGCCCCAGCTGCCCGCCGCGCCCTCAGGTGGGTGTCTGTTGGGGGTCCCAGAGCGCTACCAGGACCCAGAGCTGAGAGCCCTGAGCTGCGAGCGGAGCGAGGACCCCTCCCTCCCCCCACCCCCACCCCAGCGAGGAGTCCCTGAGAAGAGACGATGCCACACTGGAAACCGAGCTTCCCCAAGTCTTAGGTGACGGCGCGGGGGCCGCACCCTCGGTGGGAATGACGGGGTCTGAGAGTTCACACGCTTGCGCGGGGCTCCCCGAACCTGGTGCCCGGGAAGGCTCCCCAGGATTCGCACAGACGGCAGGAAGTCACAGCCCTGCTCACACCTCGGACCGCACCCCCTGGTCAGACACCCGGACTCTGTCCTGAGGAAACCACACCCTGACCTCAGCCTCCAGCCCACCCCCTCGCGGACCCTTCACGACCCCTCTAGGGGTCACCCCACCAGTGGGCCCCCAGTTGGAGAGAAACCTGGCCCGCCCCTCGGTGTGCGCTGCCGCCCAGTCAGACGGGCGAGGGTGAGTCATCTCCGTCCCAGGTGAGACTGCGAGGATCTGACCAGCCTCGAGGGTCCGTGTCCGGGAGGCTGACCCCCTTCCGCGGGACGGTGGCCAGTGTTGGCCAGTGTGGCTCACTAGGCGGTGTGTCCCCCAGGCGCGGCTGGGCCCCTGCATGGCGCCGACCACACTGTGTTTGCCCCCGAGAGCGGAACGGGACCCCGTGCGGCGAGGAAA